CCCCCCAGCATCACGGAGCATATCGACTTCGCCACGCCCCTGCAGGAGCCGGCAGCAGAGCCCGTGTGCAATGCCAACCTCCCCGCCAGCATGCATACCCTGGATCACCTGGGGGGTGTTTCTAACCGTGCGGGCATCCACTACACAGGCGAGAGCCAGCTTCGTGAGGTAGCCCCCCCCTCCCCGCCCTTGTGTGTGCCGGTTGCTCAGATCTCCGACCATTGGGCCGCACCCATATGACAGCTTCTCTTGCCCTCCCTCTTCAGGTTCTGCAAAATCTGGGCAAGGACAAGTTCTCCCCCCAGTCCTTTGAGCTGGTGGGCACCCGCATCGCCAAGGTTCTAGAGAAGGTAGGTTATGTGATTCTGATGTGAAGATCAGGTCATATTGGGCAGTGCTCTAACCATCCTGGGGAGGCCATGTCATGTCACGGTGGTGTGTGCACTGTCCCGTCTTAAGTCCTTATAGTGTACATGTTTAACCTTTCCTTCAGAACCAAACATCATGGGTGCTTTCCAGCATGGCTGCTTTGTACTGGCGGGTCAAAGGTCAAGGCAAACGAGCAATTGACTGCCTACGGCAGGCACTCAACCACGCACCACACCACATGAAGGTGAGTTTCTCCATGGGCGCCACTGTCCCTGTCACTCTCTTCCCCCCTAGTCCTCTCTCTTCTTTTCTCGTTTGTTTCCTGCATTCTCAATTCCCATTGGTCAATGGTGCTGTCGCTCAGAGTAAAGTGACCAGACAATGCCAGCAATTGACATAGGGCCTGCCTTACCCTCCCACCAGGACGTGCCGCTCATTAGCCTGGCCAACATCTTCCAGAACGCACGGCTGTGGGAAGATGCTCTGACCGTAGCTCGCATGGCCGTGGAGATTGCGCCACACTTCGTCGTCAACCACTTCACCCTCGCCAACGTCTACATCGCCATGGTAAACTGCCTAAAACGGTCCAACACTCTGAGGGAGCATTTTGTAGGTGTTTGGTGGGATAGTGTGGTCTTGGCTCTTTGAGGATCTCATTCGCTGAGGAGATGGTATGGAGACCTTGACCCATGTCTGCATGTCTCTACCATCATCCAGCTCAAAAGTCTAGGGATGCTATTAGCAATCCATCACAATACCTAATGGAGATGTGAATGAGTCTGCATATCATGGAAAGGGGGGCACTGCATATCTAACTGGAGATTGTCGTATGAAGAAGGTGGTCATATTACAGCTGAGCTGCACAATCCCATCCATCCTTTCTTAGCGTAACACTCCAGCTTGGCTTTTTTTCCTGAGCGTACTTACTGGCAGTTAGTGTGTCTTCTGTGGACTGTGTCGCTTCTCTTTAAGTCACAGGCCCAAGTTCTGTGGCAGTTAAAGTATCGTCACTTTTAGTGCTGTGGTTTTGATCAGTCAGGTGGTAACGTTCAGGTGTATTAAACGGAACTTTAGTGTAACATCCTTGTTTTATTTATTGGTTCCACTCTAAATTTTGGGCTTTACTGGGAAATGGGAAAATGAAGATATATTCTGAATATCGTGTCTCAGATACATATTTTCAGTTAAGGGTCACTTTGTCCACATTTGTTTTAACCTCTAACACTCCTGTTACCACGCCAGCAGACCCACCTTGTGGTGACGCTCAATCCCCTGCCCCCCACACTGAAGCTAGTGGCCCTAATCACATAGCCAATAGGAAGAGAGGCTTCTTGGATCAATACATTTTCCACTGCTCTGTGACTCTACTAAGACCAGAAAACCACAGTAACTTCATGCCTACAGATTTATGCTGTAAATGTGTTTGAAGCTCCCTTGTGACTTTCCGCAGTCCGTCGTCGAGTGGCCGCTGTGTAAACTTACTGCACTGAGCTTCTGATCCCATCCATGCCCCTCTACTTGGCCACAGGAGGAGTTTGAGAAGGCCATGCGGTGGTACGAATCTACGCTGAAGCTGCAGCCGGAGTTTGCCCCGGCCAAAGACCGCCTGCGCAGCATCCAGTGTTACCTGCTCAACAAGAAGGAGCGACGGGCACCCTAGGGTGGCCAGGAAACGTCAAAAGAGGACACAGACACGCACACACAGATGCACGCACACACACACACACACACACACACACATACATGCAACATGGCTTTCATGTAATCCATTTTATTTCAAAAGCTCTCATTTTCTCTGTGGTGGTCAGGGTGATGTAGGCATCACATGTCTGTCAGACGTGATTTGCTCGTAAATCGGACCTCGGAGTAAAACACTGCACACCGGCCGAAACAAAATCCCCTTTCTATCATCCCTAAGGGCCTTTTTTGTCTATAAGCATTTTTGTCTTGGCTCAGTTTAGCTGAGCAACAGTAATTTGTTGGGATTCTGGCAATAAAACATTTTGGGGTCCCGGGAGAGTGTTCTGGTCCTCAGTGGCTTCAGACCCAACGGTTGTCATGGTAACAGTCTCACGCTCCATTTGATACCTGTAGCCACCGGGCTTCGGGGGGGGGGGGATGTCCCAGCGCAGCTCGATCCATAGCCATGCTGTTAAAAACACAGACTTTCCAACTACACCATTGAAAAACCTGCATATTCTTCATTGTGTGCTTGGGAGGGAGGGGGATTAACCTTGATTTTGAGAGTCTGTTCCTGGGTTTTATTTTTATTGCGAAGTCCAGGTCGACCTGAGCCTCAGTATCACTCACTACACCTCCTTTAGTTCCTGATACTCATAATTACTTTTTGGACTATGGTCTGGAAATGGGGAAGCTGTTAAGACCAAACAATAAAAGCTGTTTGTCCACGCTGGCAAGTTCAGTTTTTGTCAGCAGTTTTTTTTAGGCAAATATAGCTCAGAAAATAAGTTTAAAACTTCTATGAAACAGTCAAGTATTTAAGAAACAAGGTCTACATGTGTAATTAGATTTCTTGAATTTAGCCAGTGGAGGTGGCTTCCACAGCCTGGGTTGAAATGGTCTCCATTTTGTCCGAAGGGTCTTCCAGAGTTTAAATCCCTTTCTGAGTTCTGGAGGTTTTGCCTTGCCTCAGACACTTGTGGCATACACTCCCTGTTTGCTCACTCCCTCCTGCATTATTTTTAAAAAAATCTAAAAGCTGAGACTGACTCTTCTCTACCTTCGCCTCGTGAATCCCATCGCTGCGAAGGGGTGGTCCTTTAAAAACCGTCTTCCACGGTGTCAGCTTTGCGGTCGAAGAAGGTGTGGTCAAGCGGGTTTGCCGGTCTCATATGAGGAGCCGCGGTCAGAGTTTCACAAAGGGCTTGGCAATTCCTTCACACACATTCGGAGCAGTCTTCAGTTCTTGTTCAGATTTAAGGTCCTTTTACTTCTTAAATGTTCAAAATGCTCTAGGATACAGTAGACACTATTGACGAATACACTACTGCATCAATACAAGACTGTTGATTCATTTTCTAATGAAAATGGAGATGATTGCATTGCTGTTACCATTAATAAATGAGACCAAACTGCCTTGAGTTCAAATGACAAAAAAATGTATGTTGATCATTTCCACAAAAACATTGTTTCGGCTAACAAATCTGCACTATGCTTGTCTCATATCAGTGAGAAATTGTGGATGAGGAATCAAGATTGTTATGACACTAGTACATTTAAAGCTATTAGCAAAAGCTTTGTTCAGGAGAGATGTCTTTTTTTCTAAATTGGCAAAAGATTGCTGAATTTGTAGCCAATAATTAATATGTTTCGTTCCCACAGCCACGTGACCATTCTACAGTTTCCAGGGAGATTCCTTTTCGTTTTTAATAGCCTTGTATACATTTCCATTTCCATCCACTAGGAGGCAGCCTAAGACTTCTTTTCAGGATTTTCTCGTTACTAAGGTTATTTGTTTTTGTCTAGACAGTGCAGACTTGGAAGGTTCTCTTCTAGACTGAGTTGTGACTGCGCGTCACTCGCCTTTTCCAAGGCTACCTGAGTATGACACACATTTGACCCCCAGGCTGGTGGGATCCGCTATTCAAAGAATTTGAGTGTACGTAGACAGAAGTCTGAGCAGAAAAAGGGCCAGACTAAAAACAGTTGAACAGAATAGGAACACTTTGCCGATTTAACGAGAGATGCATGCCGGTGCAATGTAGTGGTTTTGCCCAATGTGGAGGCAGACTTTGAAAGGAAGGACTAACTTGTAATGAAAACGCCAGATTCAGTTAAGTTAGGACATCCTCTACAGGCACAATGCCTGCCTTCTTGACTTGTTGAACTATAAACAACTTTTATTTGATCCATAAAATTACTATATTTTAGGGCAATCTACATTAATTAATCTTTTTGTATGAATTCTGGTAATGGTATTAATCTCCAATTAAAGACAAAGTCTATTTTATGGGTGAGACATTGAGTAGAAAATAGGTCTTGGAGTCTCTATAGTGAAGATTTAATGCTTATCTTCTGCACTACACTGCTGGGTGCCTTTTTAGACTTCCGTTTCAGTACTCTTTCTCGATATGTCTCCTCACCATCTTACCTCATTTGCCCTCTCTCCATTCCTTAAACCCTTTTTCTCTGCCTGTGCCTTTTATGTTCTCCGCCGCTTTCTCTCTTAATTCCTTGAGAAAAAAAAAACACACCTTCCCTTTATAGCCTGCAGGGGGCGACGTGGGCTTGGCCAGACTTGACTCCAGCTGATCGTGACCAGGTATTTCCCAAACAAGCCATCCGGCACCTCACGCGCACACTCGCGCATGCACACACACACTGCTGGTGCTGGAAATAATCTGAGGAGGAGCGAACAGGAGAAATGTGGGGGCAGATGAGCTTGGAGTGGGGGGGAGGCAGAGAGAGACTGCAGACCCTCCAGTAACAAGAAACTCTGAGATGGCAGAGACGAAGCACAGCATGGAGAGAACGTTAAGAGAGGTATAAAAGGAGACGATTCTTCCTCCTGTACTATTTGTGTTCTCAACCAACAAGACCTGTTTTGAGGTCATTACCTGTTGGAGAGAGTATGTATATATATGTGTGTTCTCCAGAAAGTACCATAGGAAATGACTAAAATACCTTTTCAAAAGTGATATTGTGTAAAAAAAAAAAAAAAAAAGCAGGAACGTTCTCAATGTTCTCCTGCAGAGATACAAAAAAAACCCAAATATATATATATAGAAGCAGGCTGGGTTAGAAATGGATACAAATCAAATTGAAGAGATCTTTCCCTAACAATACCCTTAATCTGGAACCTAAGGACAGTCATCTCTCAGCCGAGGGTCACCTCTGTTCACTATGATTGGATTCCCACTTGTCCATAAGTGCAAAGAAGCCAACTTCTGGCCTAGAGGAACACAGGGAAAGGATTTTATTCTATGCCACATCACAATTCATTCTTTTGAAATAATGATGTGGAAGTATGTTACATCACCTGGTGCTTCAGGTGTATAGGAGGAGGTAATTAAAACATGCCTTTATTAAAACCTTTTGGCCCTTGAGAAACCTGAACACTGCCTATTAACATATCTCATTCATTCCATGATGTTCGATAGGTCATTGATCTTGCACACAAAATTTCATTTTAAGCAAATAATGCCTGATAATGGGGAACGTCTTAAAACCATTTTGCATTGCGTTTCTCACTTATTTTGTTCAGGGTCATGTGGAGGGGTTTTACCAGGCAGCATAGGGCACCAGGCAGGAATACACCTTGGGTGCGATTTCTGTCTCAGGGCGCACATACATAATCATGCACAATAGGCAATTGAGAGACGCCACTTAACCTAATTGCATGTCTTTAGTCTGCAGGAGGAAACCCGCGCGATACGGAGAGACCATGCAAATGCCATGGAAGCGAGAAACAAGTGCGCTATGAACTAAGCTACCGTTACGCCTGTGATATTTATTATGCAGTAAATGATAAGCTAAACGTCGATGTAATAAAGTGACCAGTTTTTCTGCACAAGCAGCCTCCAACACTGAAACGGAGTCCGTTTTTATGTTCTCATTTGTAGTGATTCCGCCTCCAAAGGCGGTGCGTAAAGTAACAGGCGAAATGGAGTCATGTGTTTGTGGTTGCACTGAATCAAGAAATAGACGGTGAGTGATTAAAACCTTCGTGCACCACAAATCTGCAAGATAACAACATACCACAATGTATACTTGGCAGTAATGCGTTGTGAAAGGGAACTTTTTCTTCCCTTTCATAAAAAGTACAGTCCGCCCCCTCATGTACAATGCTGAGAATAGTAACAGCACTGCAAGGCCTACCAAATATAGCAGCCAGTGAGTGCTAACATGTCAACTTGTGAAAGGACACAGAGAGGTGGTTGTCACACGTGTAGCCTTGGTGGCTATACCGATCGCTATAAATACCAGATTTCCTATAAATTATATATAAATTGCAACGTTCTTTCCTCGCCTGGCAGCTCCGAAAATCCTGCAAAACGTAAAATACCTGATTCTCAAGTGGGACATCGGCTACGTGGTATAGTTTAAAATAAAGCCACGCAAGCAAGCTTTATAGACCGCAATATTGAAAGCATTTTGCAAGCAATACTAAGCGTATTAATTCCGACAAGCTTATGAACATTATAGAGGTTATTGGCATCAGTATTGCTATTACTTTCACATTTAGATACGACTCGCTACGTTTAATATAGATTGCGTGGACTGTTATATTTCTTTCTGATATAGAGGACAATATATAAATAGCTCTCTGACTTCTACATCTAAGGCGCTTGTGCAGCAAACCGTGCATTTATTTATGGAGGTTATGTAATACAGCATGTGAATTAAGAGACAGACAAGGGGTTAGCAAGAATCATGCAGTGTGGTCCATGCACTGCGCTGAGCACTCACTCGTTATGGCAAAGAGATAGGCAGGCTTCTCTCGAAGAAGAGATGCAGGATATAAAATTATGTCACGTAATGGCAAATAAAGCAGTTTGGGAAAGGTCGCCCTTTCGTGTCCAAACGGAATCATTCAATTCAACGGAAGGTAATGATTTAAAGCACGCACGAACAATGTTTATTCAAGAAATGAGTATTTATATCAATTCTATATCGATATTACAGGCGATCCCCATTTAAAGAAACCCATAAACACATTTCATAACGGGTATTCCGCAGAAGCTCCGTGGGATAACAGCAACGAACACGTCCGTTCATAAATATTCACCGTTTCTATTCATGCAGACACTTCTTGGGGTGGTTATTGTGCAGCGGCACCGCATCACGTGGTGCTGCGGGAGGAGGGAGATGGGGGCGATGCTATAAATAGCTCTATAGCTCGGCTTCCATTGACATCATTTAGGCAGGAGAGAAGGAAAAATAAACAGACAGATATAGGGGAGGGGGAGCGGGATTCTTAATATGAGCTTGAAATTCAAACATCGCCCATCCAGTCTTACTCCGATACTGCCCTCGACAGTAAACAACAAAAACAAAAGTGGCCGTTTCCTAGAACGCCTAAGTGTCACCTGATACGAGATGGAATGGAAACACCACGAGGCAGAAGGACATCAAACAAATTAAAACACACGTGTGTGCGCCCGTGTCCGTCTATAACGGAAACCAAGGCAAATATTTTGATGCTTTTTATTAATAGCGAGGGAGTATAGCGTATTTAAACACCAGCAATATTGACTTATTTAAAATCCTAGGTGGGAGGTATATTTTGAATCATTTATCATGTGTAGTGCTTCCTTTACAACTCGGTTTATTGGGTGGTCCCCAAGGGAGGGGTGACACCTGTGTGTTTTTGTTCTCCTGGCTTATATGGCGGAAGAGGACACCTTGTTTCCACAGCACATTTCAATCAACTCCGGAGTAACAGCAGGCACCAAAACTTAGCAACAAACACTGAGTACCTGGTGACTTTTTTATGATGCCTCCCATTCCCATCGTCTGCCTGTATTGCAAGATTTTTACGTTTTATAACTAAGAATAAGCATAAATATCATCGTACTCATGGTCTACTCCTCATGACCATACATTTCAACGAGCACAATAAACGACAGCTGTTAATGTAGAATGCTTGACATTACAAGCAGAATTAGCTACAGCGAATTCCTGTGATAAGGTTAGGAAAATATTCAGGTAATTAAATGTACTGCTTACTATGGAGGCCAGGAAATCAGAGCCCAGAGCAGGAGATACTGTCCATAAAGGTCCCCTGCATATGCTGAAAACAGCGAGGTGATCAGCTTCTGAAACAGAATCTTCCGGATCATTTAGGATGCTTGCATTTATTTGCTTACCTGATGCTTTCATCCAGGGCAACTTACATTTTTTTAAACCAGTTTAATTAGACAGTTTGCTGTTTTACTGAAGTGATTCAGGTTCAGTACCTTGCTGAACAGTTGCAACAACAGGGATTCTTCAGCAACATTCGGCAAAGTGTCACATACGGGTTTATTCATTTTAACATTTGCTTTTATTTTCGTTTCTGTGAATGCAAATTTCCCACATTATGAAGCAAGTAAATGCCTAAAATGTGCATGAATTTTCTTTGAATTTGATGTCAAAGGTCAATCATTGGTGGCAGATAGCACTGTTTCTTCATACTTCCTGCAAAATATTTGGCATCCCATCCAGGGTGTACCTCTGTTTGGGCTGCCTGGGATGGGCACGAACCCCTCTGCCCCCCCCCCCCACACAGATGCCTGGCCAGAATTAGTGGTTAGAAGATGGATATGTCATCTATTTTGTTTTGCCCTATAGAAGACATGTGTCATATCAAACCACCTAAATATAATTTGACAACTATTTGGTACCCAATTATCTTCTGGTATATTACTATATAGTACCCAATTGTCATCTGGTATTTTCCAAAGCTGCTTTTGAAAATAACTCACAATGATCATTACACATTGTATTGTAAACAAACTCCGAATGCTCAGACTGGGGATTGAAGAGTCTGATTAGTTATGATTCTGTTTATGGCAGTTAAAGAAAAAGTTATGTAATGTTTGGTGTCAGCGGTACTGGCAGCAGATCCACTTAGGGATTACCTTTTGGTCACTATCTTCATGTCATTCTGCATATTCTCAACAGACTTCAAGTCAGGACTTAGACCGAGCCATATCAGTGAATCTCATCCCTGAGACTCAGTCATTGTGAGGAAACCTCAGATGTTCCCAGTCCAGCTGGGAGATTTAATCCCTGCAGCAGGTCCTGGGCCTTCCCTGGGGTCTATGCCCAGTGGGATGCCATCCAGGTGGCATCTTTATCGGATGCCTGAACCACCTCAGCTGACTCCTCTTGATCTGAAGGAGGGGCGGCTCTATTTTGAGGTCCTCCGAACTCCTCACCGTGTCTCAGATAGTGAATCCAGCAGCCCTGTGGTGAAGCCTCATTTGGACCCACTTTTTCTCACGACCTTTTGGTCATTACCCTCAGCCTTAAGTACCTTCGAATTTATGAGGCTGTTATGTAATAAGAATATCTGTGAAATGAGTATTGAGCACGGGTCCGATTCAGACTGGCTGACCTCTTTGAAAGAGGACCGTTTATGCTTTGTCATGTCTGATGTGGCTTTGCCAGAGAAAGAAGGAAACGTATTTTACCAGTGGAAGTCATATGCCAGTGCAACTCCTGGTTAAAACAGCTCCCCTGATAGACATCTCTGATCATGATGGATACCATTAATAAAATGCTGATCAGAGTTCGATTTTGTTTCAGTCACTCTGGATAAAGAATTTTGCAAACAAGTTACATGAGCTACTAGTCATTCCATCACGATTATTCAGTTTCGGTTCCTTGTTCATCGTTCATGTTTTTAACTGTTTTACAGTGGCTCTGTATTTGTCCTGAAATGCTCTTTCGTGTTATGGTTGTTTTTTACGTGGTAAGGTTCTGTTTATTTACAGGTCTACATTAGTATGAGAGTAACTGTAATTTGTTTGGGACGGGTTTTCTTGGCAGGGACCGCATGCAGGAAACTCTCCAGTCGCTTCAGGATCACGACGTCGCTGGCGCACTCTTGTCCTCAAGTCACCGCCAGCCTCGCATAAGCGCGATCGTGCCTGTAGCTGTTTGTGTGTCAACGCCCAAATATAGATGAAAGCGTGTTCACGTTAGATGTGCAAACATTTGATTAGATAAAGGTTTAATATCACAATGCGAGGATGTATCACGACAAAAAATACGATCGTGCACAAAAGACGTGGGAAATGGGAAGAGGGAGTCGCTGGTTGGATGTACACCAGTACTGGGCGTGAATCAGTTTAATGAACATACGGTTTATGTACATTCGACATTCTTACTTCTTATCGGGACGGTTGAACTCTCTTTAGCCTGACTGTCCGTTCACCATTCAGGTTAGTGTTTAGGAGACGGTAACACGAGGCGCTCCCACTGAGTGTTTAGCAGCTGATCGACCAAAATCCGCAAACAAATGCGACACACAGTATCCATTCTGTTCAAATTGAACCTAATACTTATACTTTAAATGCAATGTACTTCACGAAACATTCTCACGGCTGTGTAAAGTGAAAGTGAAATGCAAATTGTCTAGTTTCTTGCATAATAACGATGTTCTGCTCACTCAGTAAGTATATGTGGTCTTGCCTAAAGCACAAAACTTAACGAGTGTTTGATTATCAGGCTTTATGAACCTTCTGCATTTACAATGTATTAGAAACAACTGGGGGATGGTATATGCGTCTTTAAACTAGGTGAATTTATTTAATGACTACTGTTTTATGCTTTATGGGTCTTCTCTCTGTCTGCCTTCGCGTCTGTCTGCCTTCAGTGGAACATCTCCTACATGCTCGGATGCTTAAAAGCAGAGTTAAATGTGGACTGACCATGGACATCCACTGCAGTCCGCTGGAACCGTGCGTTATTTTTAGCTCAGGGGTGTAGGGAAAATGCAACCCTTGTCTCGCAACCGAATAAAAAAATGTATTTTTCGGTCTCCTTGCTCTATACGTACAGTCTCCCGGTGTTCTTCGGTCGGTCAATTTTTTAAGTTTATATAACGACCCCGATCTCGGAATGAAATTCCGAATTTATGGCAGATCCTCAATACTTACCCCTTCCCTCCGATTCACCCCCTCCCTCCCTTTCCCCGCGGCCCCGCCCTCTCTCCTTGCCAGCTGAATTAATTTGATACTATTTTTGAGAGTCAGTGTTTCTAAGGGATACCTAATGACGCAATGACGTCAATGCAGGTCAATAGCACACTGGCAGAGCGGGCTTGGCGACTGAGACAGGAGGCTGGAGCGGCGAAAACCTCAGCTTTCAAAACCAAGCGCATGATCGAATTTCCACAACAATTCGTGAACCCCTGACCGCCCCCCCCACACACACACGCCCTAACATGCGTTTAAATAAACGTCCAAATGTATATAAAAAAAAGGAAAATCTGCACCATCTTTTAAGAACAATAACACCCCATTCTTATTACACCCATTTCCTTCTTAATAAACGCCTTCGAAGTTTCGAAACATGGTTTAGTAGAGAACAACTGTTTTGCGTGATTTTTTAAAGTATAATTGCATTTCTACGTATACGGCAAGATATAATTTAGATAACTCAGCTGTGCATTTCGGTATTGAATGTAAGAGGGGGGGTTGTTCTCTTAGCTGGCTAGTGTTCCCTACCCGTGGATATATTCTCTCCCTTGCCGTGTCTATACTGGCAACACAAAATATTTGGCCTCAGACAGAAAACTGCAACGACACATACTGCGTGACACCCTTTCTTCGTCCTGACGCAAGAGGATTAGTCTGTCCCGGTTTTTGCTCTTGTCTTCTGGTCCTTGAAAAGCGTATTGGTTTAAAACGTAAATAATCTATCTCCCAAGAAAACTGACAGGTGAAACATATCACAAGGTAGGTGCATTCTTTCCCGTGAGCATTAATCGTGACTTGATGCCGGGAAACTTTTATTTGCGCCAGTGACCGTACAGGTAGCTCTTAAAGAGTTTTGTTCTCTTAATACGTTTAAAGCATGTTCAGTGCATATTACCGAAAGCCTGGATTATCGTTTTACGAACTATTACGCGTTGATGCATAGATCGCGTAAATCTATGACCATCGAGGAACCAATCTTTGTGCATCAATAATACAAAAATTAATCATTTTGAAGCGTAGTTCCACAAATTCAAATGGCGATTGTTTAAAGACGTCATACCGGAGTGGCATGTTTTAAAACGGAAAACTAACTAGGCATGTGCAAGTATACCAATTCTTTATATTTAACAAGATTATGTACAGTTTTGAATAGAGTCCGCAGAGAAGCCGGCTGCGGTAATGCGTGGGTGTATTCACGTGCCGGGGTTCCTCTCTTTTTCTTGCCAATCTGTTGGGATGCATAGTAACAGCCGCTGTACCTAGACCAGGGTAACATACTGCTGTGGTTAAAGCGGATTTCCCTAAGCAAAGTTCCTTAGCACCACGGCTAACCCGCGAGATCACTCCATGGAAGATCTACAGATCCAAAAGAAGGAAACTTGTTGCAAACACAGATACTGACTACGTATTATACAAATGATTGTTCAGTACATAATATTTAATATCGGTTGTTCTTTCGACCAAAAATCAAACATATGACGAGTTCACGGTAAACACGACAATACGACGTTGTTTTAGCTGTGTTTTTAAAGGGAGAAAAGGGCACACATGACGACCATGAACGGATCATGGTAATTTAACACGTGTCATCTTTCTTTGACAATTTTCTCATTAGTTAAGAAAATGTTTAATCTTACGTAAGATTATACCAATTATTATACTGGGTGCTGCTCATAATAACCACACATTTTCGTAATAAAAATGAATTCATGTTCCCTGAAATTGGTGAGGCTGGGTCCCATCAGTGCTTGAAAGTACGGGGATCAGAACCACGGAGAGCGCACATTTGTGCTCTTTCTAGCAAACGTTGCGTGTTGGCTAATGATCCTTAATTGTGAGCTCTCCCAGACAGTCTTCATTTTTTTGTGCCCATTCAATTTCAGGTTTTCCAAGATGTGAAGCTGGGTGCGAAAAGAGAGTTAGAACCTGTTGATGCCACACCACGTGTCCTCCGTCTGCGTGAACTTTAATGCATTTTCTCAATTCACTCTCTATTTTTCAATGGATCTTTGGACATATAAGCTTAATTCTACCTTTGCAGTCAAAGCTGACTTGTCTTATATAATCTGAGCAGAATTTGAACGTGTCAGCCATATTATTTGATGTTCTTCAAATAGAATCAGCGTGCAACCACATTGGACACAGAACCAGAGATGTTCAGATTCAAGTACAACAATTCTTTACGTACATTAATGACTATATGTATGATTTCACAGGAAAGAAGAGGAAATGATCGATCGAGATGGATCATATCTGGATTAAACCGAAACACGCAATACTCCCATCACCACAGAAAAGCGGAGGCTCTAACATCACCCCTTTCATATGATCCTTCAGATTTGATTTACTCCATCAAAGATTGGCACACTTTGTTGGTATACGCAATAGGTTCTGAGGAAACATCATAATATTCATAATAATATAATTATATATTCAGATCAATAGGCAACTGGGCCTCCAGATCATCGTGTGTTAAATGACACAACTGAGGTTCAGATTTATCATAGATATTTCTGCTGCACCATCAAAACAGTTGAATTATTGCAGTTGTTCCCATTCGTTTATACCGATATCCCACTAATCTACAGATAGATGGAAAAAAATTATAGAAAAAGACAATCAAGTTGATATTGTAAATTAATGCTCAAAGTTTTTTCAAAGGAATAAAAAATGCATTTTATATATTTATATATAATATATATGTAAATAAATACTATGTATATCGTTTTATTTATACAATTTCATTGTTTTGGAACTGGGTTTCCAAAAAGACACTGCTTCTGAGCAACAATTTATCCATTCATCCATCCATCCATTCATCCATCCATCCGTGCATTTATGTACTTATCAATTTCTCTCTACCAGGCCACACCCTAGAAGATACTGATGTCGCTTAATTTTAGTTCGTGACAAATTGAATTGTAAGGGAGAAATTTGGTCTTTTGTGGTGTTTTCTCCAGCTGTTTGTGAAGAGAATCATGGCGAGTTTGCGTGACTGCAATACTTAGCAACAATTTGTGCTGTGCATAAATACTAGTAAATATGTCACGCCCGTTCGTGCGTGCGCGTGTGCTTGGAAGTGCGTACGTGTGTTTATTTGTACAAAATCTGCCCTTCTGTTGTGCCAAGGACATTTTGTATTTTCGGTGTTTAGTAAAGGGTATGCACCGAGTTCAACGCAAGTAAAGATGACAATATATGATAGACATTTTCAGAAATATCATCACTCTTCATTTATTTTACCTACACGGGGCTTCACTCTGAATGAGAGACACTGGTTCTTTAAAAATAATGCTCCAGCTGACATTTTCATTAATCTGAGAGAAAGCTCCATTGAAACGCGCAGAAACAAATACGGTTCGCAAGTGGTCTAAAATTGCTTGTGGCGACACCTTGTGGTAAGCCCTGTGCGCTGCCGGTGCAAGCGGCACCATTCTCATTGATATTTGGTACCGTTCCTCTGATTGAAAGATTCGCCACTGCAGCAAAGACGACTGAGAGAGAGCGAGAGAGGCTGAGGCAAAGAGACTACTTTCCAACACCTCCCCGTTCTAAGAGGTGGCAGTTTTTAGTATTTGGATCAGATTTAGTTTGTATATGTGTTTGTATTTTGGTGAGGAGGGGCGACATAAGGGAGTAGTGAACAAAAATATCAGGAACCGCGGATATTACTGTGGAACTTCAGCATTTTCTTTTTGTGTTTGTGTACCAGTCATCTTCGATCTAATAATAAATGTTATAATAAAACTATTAAATCATCTTGAGATCAATGATGAATCACACTAAACCGAAAACAAAAGAAAAAAAAACATGAACTCTTACATATGTACTGCTAATTCGAAAATTAAGCATAACAGAGATATTATTATGGTATGTTTTTAAATGCAATGTGAGCCTTCCAGTCTCATAGGAGTTTTATATAGCCTCTTTAACGACCAGTACCCCACCCGATCATGGAGTGTTATGAGATTTTCTGCGTGTATTCGCCAGTAAGGTGTAACCCACGGCTCCGGGCGTATAGAACAACTGTGTGTATACGTCCAAAATAGCATCGACGGTTGCGACGGGCACTGCCCTTTTTCTCGAGATTTTCTATTCGAAGAAACGGGTTCTCTCCAGAGTGGAGAGAAATCGTGCTTATTAAATAAAGTACTGTAATCACACTCCTCGTGACTGACCGGGGAGGCATGGAGAATGCAGATATCGCGGGGAGTATGTGACTGAATTTGAAACAGGCGAAGGAAGCGTTGTTTCCTACCAGCCTTTTATTATTTTATGTCGTCTTGTGTATACAGACTCTGCATACCACACATGCACTAAATATAAACCAAATGAATGAATGCAGAACATATATGCGTGTAAGGATATTTCTGTGTAGTGTAGACTGCTGATAAACAGACAGAGAGTGTAGCATGGCTGTGTCCGCTGCCGCTGCAGTGTATGTGCAACTCACGCTGAGTCGATTCCGTGGGTGAGCGAGTCTGGTGCGTGGGCACGGGGAGCAGAGGGGCCGGTGCACGCTGAGCGCCTGCACTGTTATTGTCACTTGGGGAGGCAAGAATGTTTGCCTGACAAACACACGGAATGAGAAACCAAGCTTTATCGCAGGCTGCCTTGTCGAGGCAAAAATGGAAGCCAGGGGGATCCGAGAGAGAGAGAGAGAGAGAGAGAGAGAGAGAGAGGGAACAAGAAAAAGAGGAATGTGTTTCTCACGTTCTTGAAATGGCGCTGTGGGCAGTGCAGGGCTGAATTTATAAATTACTAAATGAACACAATGATAGGTATTATAAAATTCATTTTTGGGCCGTGTACCCGCGTTGTGCCCACTCGTGTCTTTGCGTTCACCTGATGTTTTTTTTCCTTGCAAATTTCATAACGGCGGGACAGACAGTGAATCCAGCGGCGACGGCTTTAATCAGCAGCTATAGGCTGTAAAGTGGGAGAATCTAAACGTGACGTCAATGCCTAGTAACTGACACAGCCCACAACAGAAAAATACCTTTTTTCTCTCTTGGCAGAAAGCTTTAATTATTTTACACAGTGTTTTGCACGTAATCGCAATACCGTATGCAATGGTAAAATCGTAAAAGCATAGCTGTCGATTTCCGTAAAACCATAGCTAACCATTGTTAGACTGCATGAAATCCACGTCGATACATAGACTATATATATATATATATATCCACACACACACACACACGTTCTATAAGCAGTAACGTATTAATTCTTCCCATGTTTTCCCCATCGAGGGTATAAGAACATTTGGTACAATTTGTGGCTCAAAGGAGAACGCAGAAAGGGAGAGAGCACGGGAGTGAGTGAAAGCGATCAGTGAAGTCAAGTAGTGTGTTTTGAGAAACAAAACTGAGGGGAAAATAGAAGGCGTTCGGTTAGAAAAAAATCACCGCAATGATGCAACGAAGGCAGCTCATGGCTCTTGTGCAGAGTTGGAAAGGCAAAATTAATGTACATTTCATGCTCTTCACGTAACGTTCCTGCGAGATGCCTTTGTGAGTGTTTTTTTCCCTTACTGCGTACTAAAAATAGCAGCAGGGTTTGATCGTGGTCCATAAATAGACAGAGGGTATCACTTGTATAAAAAGGAGCGCGATTCTAAGAAAACTTGGACATTCCACTGAGCCGAGGAATGAATCAAGGACAACACGTTTTTGTACATTTAATTTTGTCTACTATTTTCTGTCTGTGATATAAATACAATTAAATTAAATTAAAATTTACGTTTGTATTTCCCCGTTGCAGCGAGGGTTCCCCGAACCGGTAAGTCATCCGTGCACCTGCAGTGTTCATACCGGTCTAGTTTTTCTGTTCAACATTGTGTATGTTCTCATGCATGTTTGGGTTCGTCTCGTGCTTTCGTGTGCTGTATGATACTACATTGCTTTGTCATGATTAAACTCTCACGTATGCCATTTACTACCATTAGCATGCTTCTTTAATTTACCACTGTTATCCAAAGCATAGCTTAAAAGATCAAATTCAGCTTTTTTTTTGCAGATGTGGAATCACCCCAGTGCTTAATATGTGAATCAATAGCGACTACAAACTCCTTTGTCCGTCGGCGCTGTTGAGTCCTTTTTTCCCCCCATATATTTTCCTCTCTGCACGATTTTTAAGCTCGCGCGAATGGAAATCCCCTCAGATGAGTAGGAATCGAGGATTCTGCCAGTTCATTCCTAAACTATACAGGCAGAGAACAACTCTTGTGCAAGGAGAAAAATAATGAAGGGAAATGAATCCTGAGGAGGGCACACGAGCAATAAGCGCCACAGTGCAGCGGACGGACGGGGAAACCCAGGAGCTGTCCAACAGAGATGGTGCTGAAAATAAATGGAATGGCGACGGGGGGGGGGGGGGGTGTTCCGTTTTCGACGTCCTCGCCGCAAAATGTTCATGTACTCGGAAACCAGCAGACATATCGCGAAATGGCATGCACTTCATGTGGAGGTCAACAAAGGATCGACCAAACCGACGAAATGCTAGAAACTGCAGATTAACAAAAGATCAAGCGACACTGGCAAATATGAATTAGCCAACTTGAACACCTCCCGCTTTGTGAATCTTCCCGCCTGCGTCGTTTGAACAGTTTACCTGATGATGTGAACGCGCAGACAAGGAGGCTATAGGCGGCTTGACTTGGATTACTCTTCCGCCCACGTCATCCAATTCGCTTCTTTGCAGTTTTACCAACTGATTGATTTGTCGTCTTTAACTTATAGAATCTTCTGTTATGTGTAGAATGTCCTGTTACTTCCAGAACATCTTGTTAACTCGTGCTTCGGCAAACATTTCTTTAGGCTTATCACGCAGACCGATTGCTTGCAAAGTTCAGTCGCAAGCCATCTATGTTTCATTCAATGATAAAGTGACTGTAGCCTTCGGGATATGAGCCTTTATGCCAAGTCTGCTTTACGGTAATTGACCCCCTCCGTCAAGTTTAATTAAACTCAAGGAACACATATCGTAGGAATGACAACATCGGCTGCAGTTTTTTTTCCAATAGTATCTTTTTTTAACATATAACTGGATTAGCCCTGCCATTGTAACGTTTGACTTGAATAAATCAGAAGTACAATATTCTAAGTATATATGTGTTGGAAATTTTAGGTTGCAACTTTGCTTAAATGGATATGGCTCTAGCTAAGAGACCCCAGATGAAGCCACCCGTTTACGTTGGATGAAATACTGTAATATCAAATGACGAAACGATCGTTAGTGTCAAACGAGACCAGGGGACACCATTATCGAGGATATTTATCTTTGTGATGCCAACTCGTTCTCGATAACCGTGTAAAATTTGCCTCACCGAAGAAACATCTCCGTACCATCAAAATAGCAGATTTCTTTCGTTCACTCCAAGCAAAAAGCATTTCTCTGCAGTCATTTCTAGGTAATTGCTGGTCTTCAGGTGCTACGGCTTCTCTGTTCACGTTGCAACTCATCGGCTTGGTTGTGTAGTCAAGGGGAATAGCCTGCTGCATGTTTGCATTTGTGCTTGAAAAGAACTGTCATTTGTCTGTGCTGTGTGAGTGTCTATGTAAATTCATATGTGTTTTGAGTGACGAAAATAGAAACATCTGACTTAACCTCTTATAAACTGCTTTCCATCCTTTGCCAAACGCATAATCCAGACAGGGGCAGTATGCTCTTAAATAATTCAGTGCTGGCGGTGTAATTTTAGTGAAAACAACACGGATTCTCGAGTCGTGACTGCTAAAGTGAGTAATGCGCGTTGGCTGCGTCAGGAGAGGCAGTCACTGTGCTCTGGAGATAGAGGGGTAGAATCGTGACTGACTGGAGACGTCCGCAAATGAAAAGACCACCCAATCCAATCCGCACCAGGGTGGCATCCGGCATGGATTTTACATTTGTATTTCACTTCTAGAATTCTTTGCTTTTCCCCCCGTATCCGCTGCTCTTCTACGAAGTTGTACAATAAGAAAGAGTTGAAGTGGTGAAGAGGGGTTGGTTTGGATTCAAATGAGGGAGAGTGGGGGGTGGTGGCGGGGGGTGTCCAGATATAGATCGTGACCCCCTCACTTAGTACAATGCAGTTTCAAGAAAGGGGGACGCCTTGATGTTTTGACAAACACTCTTGGCCACTAAAAGGGAGATATGGAAACAGATCATAATGGTAAGTGGAGTTAAAGTTTATATATATATATGTATTATTTTCCGGGACATCCTCTTAATACTTATCTGAGGTTTTTTTAGATCGTGTTGTACCACCTCCAGGAACTACCCCTGGTGGGGGTGTGGAAGTGCATGATGGGAAGGTTTAAATAGCAAGAAGTAGTGCATGATGATAATGACGATGATTTCAATAATAATAATAATAATTTTGAATTGTTGCCAGCATGTAACTGAAATATATTAAATATACTAGTATATACTATACTATTAAAGTATACATATCTTTAATCATGACAACATATTATTGCTGTTGTTGTTATTATTATCTCGTTTATATCGACCTTTTTATATTACTTTAATGACTTTATGATGTTCAGGTTCTATCTGGCTGTGATTAAAGGACATTTCCTCGTGTGATTGTGCCCCCCTGTGAACTCTCCGCACTTGGCCAGTTGCATCGTGTCAGAGGGCCTTCGCATTGTTGCTTTAGTGTGCAGGACATTGCCAGACTCCCCGCAGCTGGCGCAGGCGTTGTCGTGAATCAGTCACGTGCACATTTAAAGACAGGATTTATTTACATTGTTTTTAACTCACGTTACATTAATAACAATTCCTTACTGCAAATAGAGAATGCTTTGAATGGCTACCATGGCTGCCATTGTTGATGTTATTGTTACTTAAACAGCAATAGTACTAGCTGTTGACATATGTCAAGTATATATTTGTATGATGTTTAACATTGCCATTATAAAGGCGGAAAATTAATAATGATAACCCACAAAAATTAGATAGACACAATCACACCCACATACACAAAGGGATGCATAAACGCATTATCTATACTCACTTTGGCTAACGAGGATACAATTTAGTTTTCCCTTTTCTTTTTTCCCTTTTTTTCAAAAAGGGGGGTCCCTATGTGAGAAGCACACCGATTGGTGGATGACGAGTTTTTGCTTGCACCAATAAGATCCGTCGCTGCTTCCTATTTATTACGTGCGGAACACAGCTTGTTCTTCCCCTAACGCAGAACTGCCGACCGGCAGAAGCAGCTCAGCTCTCCAGTAGGCTACATCACGATCGGGAGGATTTCTGAACATAATAACAACAATGACAATGTTGCTCAAACCAAGATATAAAAAACTGAAATAAGGTTGCTACTTTACTGTATGTTGTTTTGTGTTGATGCGCAATAGAACAAAAAAGAGAGGAGACAGGGACGAGAGATATTATAAATAAAACTAACAAGATGGAGCAAACATTTCTAAAAACGATCCTCGGACAGCGGTAGCGCATAGTTTACTGGGATTTGGATATGGCATTTTTGGAAAACCTTCGTTCTCTCGATGAACGCGCTGAGTTGGAGACAGACTTGAGCACAAGGAAAGGGTTCCGTTACCTCGGCTTTTCTGATTAATGGACACACTGACTGTGGCTGGGAAACAAGCGGGAGAGCAAAGCCTCTGGATATCGCTTTTTTATGGACTCAACTGGATGTAGTGTGTCATTTGTCCTTCGCGAATCTTTTTGCGGTCTGGGCTTGCTGTTAATAACTATCAAGCTGGGAAGCCCTTACCCCAAAAAGCATTTGCGGAGGTCGCATTCGTCGAATCTAAACCTTCATATCGAAGACGTGTTACTAGCGTCCTGGAGCATTATTATTATTATTATTATTATTATTATTATTATTATTATTATTATTGCATATTGTATGTGCTGTTTTATATCTCGAATTATGTCATTTGTTTTGTTCTTATTATTAGGATTATATCCACGATTTTTTTATTTATTATTGCGAATGTAATTGTTACAAAATTGTGTACACGGAGCTACTCTGTCCTGCCCAATTCCCAGACTCCAGCGTGCATCCCAACCCAAGGGAAGGTATTTAGCATCATCAACTTTGTCAGGACTCTGCTTCCAAAATTGTGATTCAAACAGCCAGGCAACCAGCAGCTAACTCACCCAGTTTACCGAGTCAATGCACACAAAACCCCAAAGTCTGTGATTTAAAGAGCTGCATGTAAACACACAGAGCCCCCGAGATGAAGAGGGTTGCACGTGGGAAGACATAGTGACTTCACGCGTGTATGCGTGCGTGTGTGTGCGCGCGCGCCTGTGTGAGAGAGTGATATAAGCTGGGTGGAAAGGATAGGGGTCAAATCCCAGACCTTTCTAACAAGTACATTGCATACATTGTCAAATATTGCTGCTGACCAAGATCTGAAGGAGCCGAGAACTTCCCTCCCTCTTGTTCTCGCTCACTGTATTCCTCTCTCATATACATACACACGCGCGCCTGCACACACACACACACACACACACACACACACACACACACACACACACATACACACTCATGCAAACTCATATGATGACAAATGAAACCGTATTGACATGAATAAGGGAAGATATTAGTCACAGAGTTAGAAGCAACATCACTTTCATTCCCCGATCCCTGGCGTGCTCAGATGGTTCTGCGGCTCGCTCCCGCATGGGTGTGTGGGGCGCACGGCGCTGCCGCACGCGCCGAGGAGGAGCGAAGCGGCGACACCTTACACAGCATTCGCTCGCGCATTTTCCTCACACACTCTTCTCTCTTTTTGGTGTTTTTTAAAAAAAAATATCCAGCGACTACTTACCTTTTCCTTGAATCCATAAATGTACTCCAAGCACTCACACCTGACTGACTGCACAGCCCAAACAAGCTGCTGTCTCATGCTGTATTGAAATAAGAAAATAAAATATAAAGCACATAAGCTTATTACAAATAGCAAGCCATACAAAAAGGTGTTCCTATTTATGCTTTCCCCAAATGAGGTCTCCAAGTGTTTCCCTAAGTATTTCCTAAGTTTAACTCGTCATTGATACCAAGCAGGAGGTGCCTCGCACCTGTACTTTCACTGTCGCCAAAAACAAAACAACGTGGCCGTCCTAACAAGCATCGTTCAACAGGGTAAAACAACTACAAAGTATCGAAGGCCATTTTACATAAGAAAAAAAAGGTAACGATCCCGCAGGTATCATTAATGATACGTGTCTCCGAGTCACTTTACCTTTGGCACTTATGACTCCATCAGACATTTTTGTAGCACAGAATATTTGTTATATCACAACACAAACTTTTTTTTGGCCAGAAATTATACGTGGATACAAATATATTAATGCCTTCAGTTCTATGTATTAATAAGTATGACGCAAGCCAGTTGTAAGATTGGACCTAACTGGTCAAAAACGAGAGCATATAGCGGAAAAATCACTTCAGCTGAAAAAAACTCTTAAGACAGCATTTTATCCACGAAATATGAATATAACCTATTTTTTTCTCATAGCGAAGTAAACAACATGAACGTGACAAGATCCATTTCCTGACCGACAACTAGGATTGGTTGTAATTAGAAATTAAGACACCTAAACTATCATTTAGTTAATTACGCAAAATAAACAAACATATCAAGTCGTGAGGTCAGAAATGTGTCAGGGGAGGTCAACAGAGGTGTGACTCCTTAATATACAGGATCCAGGCAATTTCGAGATCCGTGCAAGAAAGATGTAAGATGACGGCATATCATTTGTTAACATGAACTTGAGGTGGTCCTTGTCATAACGTGTAACTCTATAAATTTATACCATGAGATACAGCTCAATAAATTTGTATTGGGGGGAGGACACAATTTGCTGCGACGTAACACCACTCAGGGGATTTCTAAAAATATCCATTTACAACAAAAAAATACAAGACAATCGTACCGTTCTTATTTCTTAAGTTATTTTTAAATAATTATCCAATACGTACACATTTGCACTGTGGCCCGCTTCCCCGTAATGGCGCATGCATCAGTACCACCCTTAGCATGTGGCATTAAATAAGGTTCTCATATTTAGGCCCCACGTCGTGGATGTACCTTCACATCCGCCCGTCTGCTCTGCCTGATGCCGAAACATCACTTGCCTGCATTAATTATGACGGTAATGATAACAATTATGGGCATAAATACTTGAAACAATATTATGCTACAATACTAAATTAATATAATTAATAATAGCTTACACTTACCATTTCAGGCGTAGCTCGAGGCCTGTGGTACAGAGGACCACGTGGAACTGGTTCACTTACGACACAAATAAATTCAATCAAAAGGTGTTTCCTATCTTTCTTGTCACGATATACTTAAAGCATAGTCTTCTGTCACGTAACATATAACAAAAAAATGCGTCCTTTTTGTTTTGTGGTGTGTTGTGGGTTTTATAATATGGTAAAGATAAATTGGAACATTATAATGTACATAGAGGAGGCTGCTGACATATATATTTTTATTTTAAACATTTTTATTGGTCCCTTGTACATAAAAGGTACAAACCCCACTGACGTCATTAGCGAATCTCATCGATAAGATCCAACAGACGGTGAATGGGGAGTGACGTGTACGTCATAAGGTTACCTGATGTTTAAATGTAATATGTTTCAAACATATTATATTGTTGGCGATATAGATGGCCAATCAAATTGCTGCAGACATTGTTAAAATGTCATTCATCAATAATAATTATTAATATTCTTATTCCAAAGCACCAACGTAACTAGAGGCAATAACTATTACTAACTATATACACGAAACTACAGACAAAATGATAGTACAACAAAAATGAACAATGGTCCAATGTGGTGTCCGCGTAAAGTTTATCATTCTACTTTATCCCTGGGTGTTTCTCATCAAACACACCCTTGAACTTGTTTTACCATAGCGGGTGTTACTTTTTCCATTTGCATTTCGCCGTATCTGTAAAGACCTCTTCTCGGTTTAAGCAGCCACTGTTCGGACGTGGCAGTGGTCATATTAATTTAAAACAGTTTCATACAATTAATCCTCTCAGCATGTGGAAAATTCTTCTTTGCGGAGTTCAGAAAGTTTGTGTGTATGTGTGCGTGTCTTTGCTTTCATTCATTAGGTCATCCTTCATGTTTTAGTATAGCTGTACTAATTCTGTGGGTATTCCTTTCAGGTGATATGACGGGGTGTGATTCCGGGGCTTTCTCCTCGCTTTGTCTTCCTCTTGGCTTTGGTGAGTCCTGCTTTTTTGTTCCCTTTATTGAATTGTTGTGTGGTACGTGATCTTGAACAATTTTAACATGGTAAATGATATGATAAAGTGGTAAAAGTCAGATGCAACATTTTCTGAATTTAAAATCTATACACTAATATCTGTAGTGTTACATGTGTTCCTTCCAGAGTGCTTAGATTGTCTCACAAGTAACCTGTTGCCCCCTTGCCACGATCCGCTGAAAAACTGGTGAGTCAGCTGCAGTTATTATGGCCCTAAGTTGTGGAATTCCCTCTCAGTCTTAAAAACTTTCGCACAGTAGATGCATTCACAAAGCACCTAAAGACGTAACTGTTTACTCTTGCTTTTAATTGCCCTTTTTTTTTACTGCCCTCTCTGAAAAAAAAATAGGTTGTGGCCTTATTTTTGTTTTTGTTATTTTGTTTCCTGAGTGCTTTTTCCTTACTAATTTTCTGCCTTCATTTCTGTTTTTAAAAATCTTATTTTAATCATTCTAGGTAAAGCACTATGCACTCTGTATAATTAACAAGTGCAATATAATAAGCTATTATTGTTGACGTTGTTATTTACAAAAAGGGGGAAGGGGACTTAAATACAAACAAACGGATCTGGGGAGGCAACATGGAATTTAAAGACACACGGCGATAGGTTTGCCCGTGTTTCGTTACTTTTGCACATGGCAATAGAGAGGCGTGCATTAAACATGACATCATTTTTGCCGAGTCGGGCCTTTACGTGGCATGACTCGGCCTCGCTGATGTTGTCTCCCCGTCCGATTCGCACCTCTGCTCTCTCTTGATTGGTATGTGGAGGACCAGTGAGTTAAACTCTTTGAGTTTCAAATCATGAATTTTGTATGTTTAAGTGTTTTCTCTTTTCTTTTTGCAGAATTTCAAGTGTTGGCCAAACTTTCCGCCCCACCAAATCATGGTGTGTGCTGACTGGGTCTTGGGGAAGAGATGTTGTGAAGTGTGAACCTCAGAAAGGTCTTGTAAAGATGGAGGATTTTGGCCTGACACAAAAACGGAGGAGGAAAGGTCTCCATGTGAGTTCCAGGATACTCTAACTTTCCTTTGTGTTCGTCTGATTAGTTTGTGATGTGGTGGCCAGGGTTTGTATGAAGAAGATCCCTAATGCTTGCATTTGTTCTCACTGGTGGACCCTGGAATGAGATAAAAGCTTTGGAATACATTGTAATATATGTGGTGCTTCTCTTTTGCCGAGCCAACTGACGTGCAAGTAAAGTCAGAGGCGCAGACCATCACTAGACGCTCTCGCTACGTTGTTCATAGGGACTGTTTTTATACCGGGCTTTTTTCAGAGCTGATGGTCGGACCCGTACCTGGCACTGCTGTCTGTCCCATAGGGCGTGGCCTTTGCACTACAGTATCAGGGCCTTTGCAGTTTATATGAAGAGCATGCTTTGCCGATTTGGGATTCAGTGTTTCCATCTGTCCTTCCTACTGATTTTTTGTCCTGGTTGAGAAACGTCTGAGGCTTGGTGTTTGGGATTAACAATAATACGATGATGTGCAATATCTAACATTAAAGGTATATTCATGCACACACTTGTAGTAGTTTATCTTTGAAAATTAATAGTACATTAGAGGGAAAGTTATGTTGTAAGGTTTTGGTTGTAGCTGAGTAAAGAAATGTCTGTATGACAGCTTGCGACATTTAAAGTTTTTGATATCTTGATTTAACTTTGAGAAGAATTTTAGTGCCTTTAACCCAGTGTTTCCCAGTCCAATCCTCAGGGACCCACAGACAGTCCAGGTTTTTTGCTCCCTCCCAGCTCCCAGGGAGCAAAAATGTGGACTGTCTGGCAGGTTTGGACCGGTTGTGGGTCCCCAAGGACCAGAAACACTACTTCAACCAATAAAATATAAACTATATAAATAAAAACTGTGTTGTTACGAGCAATTTTACTAAACATTCCTACTGAAAAGTTTTTGCCCGAATTTGATTTGCAAAACCTAGAAATGAGGAGAAACAGACGTGGCAGAAGGTTTCAGAGAGAGAAATTCATGAAGGAATTCCCTGTTTTTAATTCCTTCCTCTGGATAAAGTGCCTTGTTGATCCGTTGCAGTGCTAGTCTCGTGGCTCCTGCTCTCCGTCCCACAGATAGCGGAAGGGTGTAGCTGAGCGATGCGATCTCTCCGCTGATACCTTCAACCCTTAGTGCTCAGAGGAAACTCAGCTCACAAGAAGGAGAAAGGAAAATTTTGCAGTTAGACTCAGTATATCTTTCAGTTATAATGATGGCTGTGTTGTGGAATTTGTTTCTTGATCTGTCTGGAAACTTTCTTTGACACTGTATAAATCCTCTCCCCCCCCTCCCCACCAAACTGAGATTGAATTATAAATGACGTATTAAACTTTATTTGAGTTTTGTTATATTAAGCTTGTAGGATGAGTTCTACCATAATGTGAATGGGCATGTGAGTTTCTGTTTTTCTTCAGTTTTGTCTGTCCTGGGCGAAGGAACTTGCCAGGATGGTCTGTGTCTCTGTCTCTGTCTCTGTCTCTGTCTCTGTCTATGTGTGTGTACGTGTGCGTGCAGAGTGACTCTCATCTTTGTACGTCAGAGTTCTGACATTCAGGAAGCCTACATCCAGGGGCACCTGCACAGAGCTGACACATGCAGTTATAGGCAGTCTGCTGGAACAGGGGGCCCAGCCTCCAGACTGGCAGGACACCAGGGAGTGCAGACGACCGGTCGAGGCCCCAAAATGGCGAGCGGGCCTGAGGTCAAGGTTCCCTGCACCCGGCGTTCCCACCATCCCCGCTTCTCTGAACAACCGCAGCCTCCCTCTTTACTGACAAGGAGTTGTAGCTAGGAGGAAAACTAGAATGACGATTCTCCTCAGTCACCTGGACTTCGATGACAACGTGCGCGGAGCGTCACAATGCGGTCGGTCAGCCGCCGTCCACTGCGAGAACGGCCACTCCTCAGAGCCAGGCTTCGAACTCACCCCTCTCTCCCACATGCGGCAGCAAGCTAATCGGCTGTGACCTGCAAAAAAAAACCAAACACACACACACATGCACAACAAAAATCACTGAAGTGTTTGGGAACCATTCTGCTATGCAGAGACGCTGTTGCCCTGCGCATGCAATCTGCAGCCATCCACTTGCAGGAAGAGGGCGTTGCGAAACGGCCTTCATTTCCGTCTGGACTCTTAGATTCAGTTGCTTAGCTGCTGTGCCGTGACTTTCCATGGCACAGCCGTTGTGCGAACACACCCTGCGCTTGCATTCACGCGTGTGAGTTACGGATGAATATTGCGGGCAGGTGTGCCACGAGAGTGTGTGAGGCACGGCGAGAGGCCGGATTTTTGCGCGTCAGGTGTGTGTCCGGTTCTGCGGTGGTGACGCAGGATGGGGCTGCCCAGCCGCTTCGACAATGACTGAAGGGATGCCCGGGATTGTTTGTTTACGCAGCTTGTACCGAAAAGCGTGGGCTCCTGCTGGGAGCGACGTTTGGTTGGAGGAGATATTTTGGAGCACTGGCGGACCTGGCCAATGGGACCTCACACACACACACACACACTTGGTTACCTGAGCTGCTGTAGCCTGTACCCTCGCACTGCACAGAATTTACCTTCCTCCCTGAATCCCGACCATGACTTCCAGTTTTGCGTGATGCTTAATGTGGGATCGGATCAGCTCACTCATTATCTAATTAAGCTGGTCCTCTTGTCCCCTTCACTCCGTTCGCTGTGTTCGCGTGTTGGCATGTTGGCATGTTGGCATGTTCGTCTGTTTGTGTCGCCAGTCCCCCCCCACACCACGTGCCCCCACACACACCTAACCCTCTGGGATGGTCTGTCGCTGTTTCTCTGACTATTTCTCCTTCTCCTTCTCCAGCTCACCCTCTCCTAGAATCACTGATCAGACTGGAACATGGATGCTTCTGTCTTAGATACTTTTCTACAACAAACGGACAATCAAACAATCAATATATCCTATACATAAACTAAGATGGCTATACTTTATTGATAGCGTAGGAAATTCAGTTATATCTATAGATATAATATATATATATATTCATTAGCCTCTACTGCCATGGAGGGACTTTATGTACTTGCAGTCGGAGTTGTATTTACTTTTTATTAGTGCAACATTATTATTATCGTTATTACTATTACAAGTTTAATTGATTTTACTTTATAATTAAATTATTTGGTAAACAAATGAAGGGCAGAGTTTACACATGACTTTGATGATGTTATATAGATTATATATTTAATTTTTTAACCTGTTAAGACTCTTATTGTAGATACAGGCTTCACCATTCCCTCACAGCTGACGGGGGGTGTGAGAGCTTGATTTTTGGGCAGGCTAAAGAAGCTTATTTTAGTTTTGTGTCTTCATAGAAGCGGGGTCTGGATAAGCGGCCTCTTAAATCTGAGACATTCTGTGTCTTTTTTCTTGTTTCTGAAAGCCTGATTTTCGCGGCCGACGTCTGGCGGAGCTCAGCCCTGCCCTCCTTCCTGCCCAGCGAGCCGGGGAGCAGCATGAGTCAGAGCCGGGGGCCCCCGCTTACCTGTCCCAGCCTCATGACACTCGCGAAAGCGGTGACCTTGTGGCTGTGATGTCACTGCCACGCTCACCAGCCACTGTGTCTGCATCCCGAGGACCTGGGGTCACGGGACCTGCCCGCTGTCTGGTCTCCTCATGTCAGTTTCCTCTTTCCACCCTCGTCAATCTCTGCACACACCCGCAGCCCCCCCCCCATCCATCCCAGCTGACTGGCTTACAGACTCCCGCCACACCTTGGCTAATACCACCTACCTGACTGTCCCTGTTGGCAGCCACTTTACCTGTGCAGCTTCGCAGGAAAGGAGCATTTCCCCAAAGGGGAACCCCCAAATTTTTTAATTTTTGGGGGGTTCCTCTCCTCCAGGGCTCCTGAGCATCAGTGCAGGGCTGAGGCACCATCCATTTGCAGTCACACACTGGGGCACTCAGCTCTACACACCTGATGTGTCACCTGCCGTTAAATCTGAGCTTTAGCTAAAGTTTAGCAGAATTTTACCCAAATAAGACTACATACATCTATGTCTCGCACAGTTTCTCTCTCACACAGATGCACAGGCACAAGATCTCTGACAGACACACATGTACACACCTGTGCTCGCGCTGCAGTTGCATGTACACATGCAGATACATGTGTCTGAATGCACCTCCTTCTGACACACACACACACACACACACACACACACACACACACCATATCACAGACACAAATGTCCAGATGCAGGTGAAGAATGAGAGACACACAGATGGTTAATACAGACATCACGCATTACTGACACACAGCTTCGTCATACAGGTGCAGACATACCACTGATACACAAAGCCTATGTACTGATATAAGAGTGATATTTCCAAACCCGATTACCCCTTGGTCATGCAATCACGGTAGTCCATTGTCTAAATTGCTCGATAATACTTACAAACTCCTAGTTCTGTATTGAGAAAACCCATTTATCAGTTTTCTTTTGCAATTTTTTTTTAAAAACCTTTTTACGTATTACACACACACATATATATATATATATATATCCATTTTTCTATCTTGTGAATTTTTTATTCTCTATACTTTTTACAGAGTACCATACTACAGATAACTATTTGCAATATTTTTTATAATTTCTCATATTTATTCACTATTATGAGCATTTCTCTACATTACTAATTCCATCATGTCATACTTTTTTTTACCATTGAATTTTTTTAATGTTCAGACTCTTTTTAAAATCAAAATTTGAATGGAACCAGACATTATGGATTTTGTTAATTCAAGTAGTAAGTTGCGTCTGATATCTTAATAGTATCTTAATCCATAATTTGTACTGAAGTCCCTGCATTCCACTGTTAAACTTTACATTTTTTCATTATGATTTACTAGCAGAATAAGTATATTGGTACATTTCTCATTGTCATTAATTTATCAGTTATTGACCCACAGATTGTAGCTGATCTTTGTTTCAAAATTAAATTAAATTTGAGTTTATTTATGCCCCTCAGAACTGCAAAATTGTGAGATGTGGTTTTGACACAAAGAGTAATGTGAAACGGCACATTCAAGGGGGCTGATTAATTTCAACAGTCCTTAGCATGTCACAGTGAATCACATACAGGTCCATGCATGTTTCAAACACAAATCTTGTTTGATTTTTTTGTTAAACTGAGCCATACAGCACATGTTAATTTAAGTTTTCAATTGAAGTTTAGTGTTTTGCTTTACTTATTCCAGAATCCTTAACATTCTAATTGTTTGATAGATTGTATTTGCTGTGAAATATGGTGAATAGATTCACCAAGTATACCTATTAAATTATGATTTTGTTTCTCAACAAATATTCAGTGAATCTGTTTTATTTGATAAATCAAATTTAAACAGGCAGACATTATCTTTGGTGGTATTCTAAAAACTATCCGTTGTTTAATAAATATACTGTGAATTGTAATGAAACACAAAATATATTTGTATATATAGTACAATATTAGTTGTTAAAGGAAAACTGAAAATTAAGACCTTATAACAGCATGAAGGAAACCAGAAAAAGGATTAAATACAAACAAATATTAAAATTTAGCTTTCCGATGAACTCAGTAATGCACAGAGCACATTCTGGATTTGACATCTAAAAATATTTAACAAGAAAATGAACCATGAGATGTAAGAAAAATAAGACGTAGGTCAAACAGTGTTTTTGGAGGGGTGTTAGACACCAAAATTAGCCCCTGCTGAAATAAATAAAGGAAGTTCACAGTGGAGCATGGAAAACGTCGAATTCTACTGCAAATTCTGCAATTTCTACTTTAAAAACATCCATATAAATGCCAGTAAAGGTAAATGACGTTTGATTAAATTGTTAAAACTAGTGAGAAACTAGAGAAGGTGCTTTGCTTATACCAGTTTTACTGTAAGACATAAACTGCATTAATGGTTATTTATCTGATCTGTTTTGTTTGTTTTTTTGTTACCAGTTGACTGAGAATAATACTGATGTGGGGACCAGTGATATGGAAAGTAAGTGAAAAATCTGACAGGTACTTTTGCACATTTAATGCATGGAAAGTCATAAAATGGGACATTGCAGACATGTAATACAGGGATAAAATAGTTTGGCAGGAGATCGTGATATAAATTTATTTAAAAAATAAAACATTTGAAACATTTCTTTAATTAAGCAAAAACTGACAGCAGTTAAACGTTTTTTGCCATACTGTATCGTTTTTATAAATAATAGAAAAACAACAAGCAATAGTCTGTACAGGAAACCATGAAAAAACAGAATTACCCTTCAGAATTAATGTGTGTTTTAAATAAAAGTATTGCATGAAGAGTTGCATGGACGGTACATTTGTTTTTCATTTTTCATTATCTTTTCATACTTTTAAAAAAATTCAGTGATGCATGCAAAAGCGTAGCAGAGAGTTTGATATTGGGTGGGACACAACTCACTTTAAGTCTGGATGCATGTTTGTATGTTATTTATACAGATGGTATAATTTCGGTAACATTTAAACATTATTTCAGGGCAGCAAAAATACTGATGTATTCAATATGAAAATGAGGATAATAAGAAAATATGTTTACTGTCTTAATGACATGAGCTGCGGATCTGCTTGGGTGCCTGTCCCTGATGGAGCAGGTTGGAGTCAGAGACAAGGTGCCTTATGTGGACCGTGGATACGTGCAGGTCACAGAAGCTCGGGGGTATAAGGCCTGCAGTCTGGCTTCTGGGAAACTCTACTGTTCAGTGTTTGCTGGCATGTTTGGAGTGATACTCCAGTTAATTGGGGCATGATTAGATGGAAGGTCTCTCTGACCGCGGAGGTCAGGAAGGACTTGGGACAAACAGAGAGGGCCGTACTGTGGGTACCGGGGATTGGGCAGTGAGGGTGGAGGTGATTATATGGGGGCTCCCACTTTGGGTTTGCCCTCCCACATCTAACTGGTGGATTTTCTTGAGGAGGGTTGGGTGGTGCATGGTGAGAGTGGCATAAGTGACATGGTGGGGTTAGGAGACGTCTCTAAATGGGCGGGGCAGGTGCGGGGCGGTTCAGGATCAGGTGAGGTGGGCTGGACGTGTCCCACAAGGGCTGACCGGGGGCTGCTTTGGGTGTGGGTCTCCTGGGCGAACTGTGAGTGAGCTGAGGCTTCTGTGAAGGCCGCACACACACTGGTCTGTAAGCAGCCCTGGCTGCTGTGAATCCAGCTTACGCAACACCGCAAACATTAAATGGACAAACAAGAGAGAAAACAACCCTCTTTCAGCTGATTGTGCTTTCGTGTAAATTATGCTTTTAAAAACTTCAAAATCATAAGAAAAAAAACTTAAGTATGCTTTGCAGTATCTTTTCATTAGATGTTTGCTTTTCATCATTTATTTTTGTTGGTTTTGAATGCATAATTTAAACAATTCAGGTGATGTTTTGTTTCAAAAACATTTAACCTTAAATAATCACTTAATTTGTCTTTATATTTACATTCATTTATTTGGCAGAAGCTTTTGTCCAAAGCAACGAACCAGTGAAGCAAACAGCACATTACAAACATACAATACAACTCAAAAAGTGTGCGAAAATATAAGAGTATTTCATCTGTGTATTTCAGAAATGCTTCTGTCCTACTAAGTTTGAAATAATTCCAACAGTGTTGTCAATAGTGTCGTCTCGTAGTGCTGATTTTAATTTTGCCGTTTAACACATAAAGTTGGAGAGACAGAGACAGAGACAAACTGTATAAGCATAGTAAGCGTTATAATTACAGCAATCATTCGTGTGATCATGGGTGATAATTTGTTTTATCAGTGGAATATGTTAAATGTGCCACAGCCAAATTGTTAGAGCTTGTGAGGTAAACACTGAACTTATGAATTTGATGTATCAGGTAAAAACAAGCGTGTTTGAAGCATTAGGTGTGTGTGATTCTGTGTGTTTGTGTGTATATACATGAATTTGGAAAATTTTGGCTCTTTTGAATGATAGGAGACTGGGAAAAATCAGGGAGGGTTTAAAAATATATAATTCATAACAATTTAACTAAAATAGTCTTATTAAGATCAGGTAGAATGTTTTAAATTGGATTATTGAAAGTTTTGGCACTAATTCCATTAATAGTTTTATTTTTTCTTCCATTTCTGACTTTCTGTGTCTCCCTGTCCCCGTGTATGTGTATATCTCATGTATATGACTGAGTGTGTCTCTGGACTCTTGTTCAAACCTGTACGCCCAGCAGCCTGGATAGATGTGGACGAGGGGACAGAGAAGTGGCCAGGTTGGGAAAAGGCAGACCACCCCCGGTTGGTCTTGGTGTCCGGTCTGGCATGTCTGCAGCGGAGCAATAGATGTGGTGTCGGTTTGTCATGGCAAATAGCCCAGCACTGCTGCACAGGTCCTGCATGATTAACCTGTCGTCACAAAATTATCATGGCAGAATTCATCACGTGTTTATTATCAATAGGAGTCATGTTGCTGTCATATGTATGCAAAATGTAATTGTACTTGGAAGAATATGTGCAAGATATTTTAGGACTGCAGCTTAAAAACAGAAAATATATGTTTGTTTTATCTCTTATGTGAGTGTAATATGCCTATATGTAAAATGTATAACTATTGTGATGTGTACAGGCAGAAATATCAGAAAAATAATTTGACAGAGGTTGAGTAATATAAGTTTGTGGCTTGGTCTTTCACAGGTAATCCAATACCTTGAAGGTACTGGAAGTTTCGGACTAGGATGTAGAAGAGCAGGAGAAGGCTGGGATTTAGGAGATGGGAATTACAAAGCTCTGGGAACGATGGGAAATATGAGGGAGCAGCAGCGAAGACGTGCACAGAACTGGACTAACTATACATGTGTCGTCGAGCACTTATGAAAGCTAAAGGCGGCGGCCAGTCACTGTATATCAGGTAGGTACCATCCCCCAGCTGCTGAGGAACCTTCTCAGTTGGCAAAGAGGCGAGACGCTGCAGAAAAGGGTTCGAGCTAACTTATTTATTTAACATGCTCTGCTAGAAAATAAAGCAGGATATCGTTTGATCGTTCAACTTCTTTTAATATGTTCTTAGATTGTTTTTATTGAATGGTAAGATTCCCAGCTCCAATGACTAAATAAATATGCTTCCTCCATTTTGTTGATGTCAGATTAAAATGCTGAATACAGAGTGACAAGAACGTAGCTATAGAAAAGGCTGGTACAGGATAATCGCATTAAGTAAAAAGTAGAAAAATGCTGGTAGGTGGTGTGGACCTGAATTTGCGTGTGTGTTAAATCAGGTGAGAGAAGACCTCCACTCATGGGTAGCTGAGGTCTGTAGAGGTGACGGGCACACTGGCTATGGTTCCTCTGAGTATGGCTACGCACAAGCGATTAAAGGGGTTTTGAAGAGCCTACGGCTCAGACGTCCAGCACACGTGTGTCTCCCAGGTCAGGGTAGTTAGCTGTCACGTCGTCCCAGATAGCAGGGATCTCTGGACAGCCATGTTCCATTTCTTCCCTACAGGTCTGACAAACACTTGAGCTATAGGTGGAAGGTCTGAATAAAAAGTTCATCCAGAGCACGGTACATGATTTCCCAGGTCTCTCTCCCTAGATAAATATCACAGCTTTGACGAACACAGGTAGATAGCAGTGTTTCACCTGTAAATTTACACATCAGGATTAGACACCATGATAGTTGTTTGTTGCCCAAGGAGTGCGACTGGGTTGATTGCTGGATTCTAATCAGAATATAATGGGAAGACTGGAGATGTGGAAGTTTTATAGCGGAGCATTTGGGGACCTCTTTGCATTGTACCTGACTGTTTGAAGTTGAAGGCATTTACTGTAGGGCACTGTTTTAGGGTGCCATGTGTGTTAAGCGTCGGAACGTGCATGCCCACGTGTGTCCTGCCATCTCGTGGGGCCTGCCGCTGGGAGGGGCGATGTTACAGGAGGCAACTGGCAGGGATTCATCACGAAATGTATATCGTGTCTTTTTGGACATATATGTTGGTAACAGCTCCAGTGTGCTTTTGTTGTTTAGTCTCTGTGCTTTTACGTAGCTGCTGGTTCTGGGAGCTACGGCACGATCTGTGCCAACAGACGGCGGACGAGGCACACGTGTGACCATGAGCCCAAATTTCTAAAAAGACCTTTACGCTATTTTATGCAACTTTTAAAAACATTTAATGTGCTGCTAAATGAGCAGGCTTTGATGAAGGGCTGGCTTGCTTGCTGTAAGGATTATGTTCCCCCTCCGTGCTGTTGTGCTAATAAAATTCAGGCACGTAAACCTGACATCTCAGAAGTTTTAAGAAATAAAGTTTTGTGGATCTTCTCTGTGTTTTTCTGGTCCTTAAAAGGACGTGTGCCTTTTTATTCATCAGTAAGATCAAAGCAGAAAACGCACTCTCTATTAAAGAAAAGTGTCATGCAAAGAATGCCAAGAAATATATATATTTTGATGCTTTTTGTAAATAAGTTACACTAATACTTATGTTTTAGAGGTCGAAAATAATAATGCCTTTTTTCGTTCATAGCTGGTAAAATAACTTAAATATCCCAGACAGTTTTGTATTTTATATGAACGTGTTTAGCACAAATGTGTATAATTATTTCTTTGATTTGTAAGGTGTAATTAGATCTGTCAGTCCCTTTCTTAGGTTTTTTTTGACAAAACTAAGAAACGTGTTTAATGTTATAATATGTGTTTAGAAGGAGGGGGGAAGTATTCATTAATCAAAGATGTGTTGTCTGATGTAAATCAGTGGTCTGTTGACTGTAAATGCAGAAACAGGTCTTCCTGATTCAGCATGATCTTTTTTTCTTTTTCATGGGGAAGGAGAGTTTTACTCCTTTATGGTACAGGCGCATTCTGTAAAAATACATTGAATCGTAGGGCATTCAGTGTGATGTATGCATGGCTGAAAGACAGGTGTGAGGTCCTGGGGCATTGACAAAGGTCCTGGCCTTGCTAAATATAAAGGCAACAGTAATGATGATGATGATGAGGAAGAGGAATGTAATAATAATGACATACCGGTGAAAGACTATGCTGGCATGCCTCACATGCCCTTCTGCTGATTATTGTTAATCTTCATCATGTAATAGGTCCTTGTTTGCCTCTGTTTTCCCAGAAACTCGTTTAATTTTAAGTCCTAAAGGAGGCAGCCCTTTTCAAATTAAAACGTGGCCTTCTGGTGACTTCTTCCGCAACAGGTAAACAATGGTATTGTTGTTTTTATAAGACTTCAGCAGTGTCTGCTGTATTGTTAATTCCTACATGGGGCTTTGTTGAAAATATTTGCTGTCTTTAAACACTATTTTATTTAAATTTGTTTCTGAAGAGATCATGCTTGGCAGAGATGGTTTGATAAATTCTATAAAATAAGAAACGTATTACTAAATCCCATATGTATCGCACTGACGTATTGAAAGCTATGAAATAAAAAAATGCACAGATAGTAAACTAGCTGTCGCAAAACCCCAAAACTGTACCTTAATTGTAATACAATAGGTACGTACGTTCGTGCAACTAAACGTCTCAGAATGAAAGGTCAGGTATGTAGATCAAAAACGCAGCAATTAGACACTGATTTAGAAGATCCATACAGCAATATAAATTTACCTGCACTGGGTGCAGTTTTGTCGACCAAAAAAACAATAACCTAAATTCCATTTTAATAACTATCCGTGGATTAAGTTTTAGCTTAACGGGGTACAGGTAGGTATGAATATAGTACTGATAAATCTAAAGAAACGGAAATGTAGCCCAACTGAGGCGCACAGTCCAATGAATTTGTGCAAAGTAATACATGATATTCATCTTTAAGTACAAATCGTTCAGAACAGCCACAAAAAAGCACATGGTGTCAAAACACACACGGTGCAGAAGTGTGACGTCCTGTAACGTCTCAACTTTGTGAAATTTAAGAACAAAGCCGTGCAAACTATCTCACAAAAGCAAAAACCGAATTCATTTGGTTTGTGCAAAAATATTACTGTGTTGCCAGGCATTTGCAGTTGTTAGGAAGCAGGTTTTAACACTATTTATTATTTTTTGGGGGAAAAAAAACACATCGTTTGGAATCCTTGTTTCTCTCCAGCCACATATACACAGACGTGCACGGTGTTCAGGAAGGTGGGCACTATATTAGAATGTTGGCGTTTGCCAACTGAATCTTGCTGTTTGCTGGTTCTGCATGTTAAGACAGCACAGCTATACTTAAGCAAAGGGAAGCGCTCTGACGGTCGCTGTCCTCTGGTCACAGGTGCTGATTCATAAGTCGTGCTAGTAACTGCTGAACGGAATTACTTGCGTGCCAAAAAACTTTCTTACTTGAGTGTTACATGCCTTATTTTATTTCAGTTATAAATAACAATCTATTAGGTTCTGAGATATATAGAAATATATCTTTTTTGTTTAATCAAGAAAAATATGTTAAAAAATCCGATTCTTAAAAGTTGAGAAAGCTGCAGTTGTGTTTATAAAAATTAGAGGTAGTAATTTGTGACAATGTATATTGTTATCAAATTTAAACTGCATTTGTAGAAGTTGAGGAGACAATGTGTGACACTTTATCTTGAAATTTTAGCACGTTTGTCAAAGTATTATACGCCTCCGGTGTTACCTTAATGAAATGTTTTACTTTGCAGATATGGAAATATTTTCTGTGTATCATAAAATAAATATATACAATTTAAACTTTTTTCTGTCCTTTTTTTCCCACAAGAATTCATTAATTGGAATGTTTTATATCAAAATATAGATAGGCCTAATTATGCTATACGTTTGAAACCATTTGTTGTAATACATTTAACATATATGATTGTGGAAAAACTATTAAGTGTCTTGTGATGTGAAAGAGAGGACGATAGGCAATACACTTAATTTTTAAAACTGAATCGATTAACTTTGGACTCATGTTCGTCTCATTTCAGATCGGCATTATTAATTACAATGCTGCTTTTTCAAAAAAAAAATTGTAACAGTGAAAAGGTGTATTTTCTTTGTCTGGATTTAATTGCTGTTATGCTTTGGAAAAATATTGTGACTTGTGGATCGTTATCTGAGTAACCAGGATATGTACTGAAGGTGATCATTTTAAACTTTCTGAAAAAAGTACAACAGTGTAATTTCACCGAAATGTATACTTATTTTAAACAACCACTCTAACAACCACTCTTAGATAATGTAAGAAGTAGATATTATATTACTTTTACTTATGTGGCAAGGCCTGTAAGCACACGATTCGCTGAGAGGACAGGATCAATGATTGAATTTTTAAATTAATGTGCATATGTACTTTTTTGTGTGTATATGCAATCGTTTATGTGTGTGGTATATTGCGTAGCATACTATTGAAGCATGTATTTCTTTCCCTTAGAGATGCAAAAAAAAAAATGTTTAAAATCCCATAAACAACATGTTACATATTTGTTTCAGAGCTCTGACCTTGCTGTGTTCCAATGTTTTGATGTAATGTTAATTCGGGTGATTCATGCATTGCATGTATTTGTTCTGTGAATCATATCTACCCACGTTATGTGAGCATTCCTTAATAAAAATAATTTGGCATAACACGGTTGTGAAAACTAATGATTAAGATAATTTTACCATCACACTGTTTTCAAAATGCTGAGTTCATTGTACAACCCACCAACTCAGATGTGTTGATGCAGTTAAGCACCAAATTATATGTACCTGTAACACAGCACATAGAAGCTTTAATAATTGGTAAGGAGATGTTTTCTTTTAGCGCAAAAAATTAAATCTTTATATGTACATTTTTCTGAAACAATTGCAGTTTCCTACTAAGCTGTCTTTAAAACGTGCGTTACGTGTGTAATACATTGCTGGTGTTTATTATTTTTATGTCAAATTCCAGATTAAGTCTTAGAAACCCCGGTAACATGGCGACAACGACTTAAAAACATACTGAAGCCAAACACTCAGCTAGTCACGATTGCTGGTTTAACAGGAATATTCTAACTCTTTTGAACATCGAAACAATTCTGCATAGTACAACTGTTTTTGGTCCAACGTTAGTCTACATACATTTTGCATGTGCTATGTGTGAGAGTAGCTCACGAAACAATCTATGAGCTGTGATCTCACATGGTGGAGTGCTCGGTGAGTAGGGCTGCCTAGATGTTTATATAACCGCAATCCTTCTTCCGTGTTTGTAAAAGTTGCTACGAAATTTTCTCTCGCGAGTCTCTCCAGCGTGCAGGGATTCTGGGAGCTGTAGTCCACGGAAGGCTGCTTTCTGTGGCGCTTCTGTGGTCACACATGAAACGCGTGCAGGGATATACATTATGTCTACGAGACTAAATAACATTTTAAAGGTAGATAAAAGAAGAATTCACGAAAGTCCTTCTCTGGTGCCGCAGTATTTTAATGCTGAAGAGCGAATCGTTTGAGCAACAAAAACTCAGAGGATCTTGATTGGCACTCATATTAACGTATGAATTGTTCAAAAAGCACCACTGTAGGAGGGACTTGAGGATAAGGGTATGCACCAATCGGAATTACTGTCCATTCATAAAATGGTATGGGCAGAACAGCGAACGCGTGGGTTTAAGGTGTTTTGTAATACTCCCTCCGACAGTGAAACTTGCGCGAAGTAGAGCCAATAAAATCCTAGATTTCAGGTTGCTGTAATGCCTGTCCAATCAGTTCTTATACAAGACTGAAACAAGCCCTCCCCTAGTATTCCTAAAAAAAGGGGATGAATGAGAGGAACCTTCGGCAGACGACGCCCAAATTCACCAAACACAGAGGAGAATCCTTTGATTGACAAGATATTCACCCAATCTTCACTAGAGATGGGCTTGCCAGGAGCCGAAAGAGTAGGTGGGGGGCGTGCACTCCAATCTGTGCAGACTCTTAAAGAGTTGTGTCATGCTGCTGCTTTAGCTTAAAGGGATCTCACGTTATAGGGTAATTTAATTTCAAATTCACGCTTTGGCACTGTTTTGTAAGTCGCTGTCATGCAGTCGTTCACCGTTAAGGTCTTACTACACTGGGCTGAGGCGCCTTTGTACTGGGTTGGTGCTTTTACAGCGGCCTGGGTATCGGTGTGGTTTGTCTACCGATTGCTCCTGGGGCTTCGGATATGGGTGTTGGGGAATGGCCAATTGATCTCCACTAAGCTTGGGAAATGGGCAGGTGAGTTGACTAGGATCGGCTGTGTTCATATTTCTTATAGTGTCTAACTATGGGGGGGAAATAAAATGCCAATTGTCATAGTATGACAGGGGAGCAGATCGCTGGCTGTTAACATCGTCATCACATATATTTCAGATGTTTACAATCCTTTGAAATACACAAAATTAATTCAGCATGGTTTTAGTGTTAACTCGCTTTATTGACTATTGAAATGTGTTAGAACAATATGCTTCGATTGTAAGTTAAACTGTTATCGATTTATGTACAAAGCATTTTTGAAATAGCGTTTTAATTGGAAACCTAGGTAAAATTTTACCTAATGTACCTGTGTATGAGGTCTTTTCGTAGAATTCAGGGTCTGCGCATCTTTTTTTTAAAAAAATGATTTTAATATGCAGAATTACATTTTTCTCCACTCTCATATTAATCTGACTTGGATAAGAAATTAGATAAATGTTACTGGTTAAACAGAATAATCGCACCCCCTTTGAATGTAATCGATCACACTTCAAACATGCACAGTGTGCATCCACTACTGCGTCACCGAGCGCGCTTGGTGGGAATGCGTCTCGTGCATAATGAGCGCGTCTGGCGGCGTTGATGGCGAGTGCGAGATCCCTCAAACCGCAGGTATTTACTTGGCCCAGTTCGACCCACTTATCCATCCCCCAATCTCTTCCGCGAGCTGCACTTCTTAAAATTTTGTTCCATTCCTTTTAATTGGGTTGCGTTTAATCACGTTCTATCCATGGACTTATGTACACCATTTACTGAACCAGCTCAAAAACCGAGTATTACATGCTTTACGTTGTATCTTCTGCTTGGAGCAACGAGTGAAAGGTATTATGGCGATAAAATAATTTGACGTCATTATTAATGACATGAAAATCTAGATCTGCGTACACCACAATTAAAGTTACATTGCATGAGGTGGGGGTGAGCTGTATCATTAACAAGCACGAATATTCTTGTTCCGTTGGTTTCAGCGCCCCGGGTTCCACTTGCACCACTTGCGTGAAAGTCGCTTGTTGCCTGGTGATCCGCTTACTTGTACAAAAATGTACACTATGCACGAATGACTCATTTTTGCTCTCCAGTACTGAGTTAGTTCCTTTTCAGTGGGTGGGCAAACCTGTTGGGTTAAGGGAAAAAAACATGGAGGAAGCACTCCCAGTAACCGACAGTGGAGATTTCAGGTCTGACCAGTCTAGAAGTTGGAATAAGTTGAGTTCCAGGCTACGACACATGAACTAGTGCCAGGGGTTGCCAGCGCGCAAATACGCGGCCACCAACGAGTTTTACTTGCACTCGTTCCTGCTATGCTGGTCCCAGGTGTCGCAAGTCTGCCATTTTAGACAAGGCTCTTTATTCTATCTGATATGCGACATTCCTTTGCTATTACTATGTGATGTCAGATTAATGACTGTTACTTTCAGAGCAGGATGCTTGCCACGTGAGTGTGTCTGTTGCTTAACAAGACTTCGATAAACGTGCCTTGCATGCATCAGCAGCTCCGCGTTTCCTGACTGTAACTTTTGCTTGGCTTTTTGCTGAAACCAATCATTCCAACACCGCAGAAAATATTTGCTGCTTCTATAAATAGCATATTGCAGTAATAGCCTAGGTGACGTACTCTAGAAGCAAAAGTTTATGAAGTGCTAATAAGTTACACTAAAGCGTATGAAGTATTCGGCTATATATTTTTAAACTATTGTGTAGCAGGGATTTTTATCTTTACCACGTCAACGCAACTGCTCTCCTAACAAGGTGATGTGGAACAATCTACCTTTAACCCCATTATTTACATAGTTTATTTTAATAATAATAATACATTTTATTTATATAGCGCTTTTACAAGAACTCAGATTTTAACTACCTCACGATGAATTTAAAATATAATTAATGTCCTGAGAGCGCTACACGGCATCGAACCCTGACCCTCTAAAGCTCTGCTTGGTGAGCGAGGGGGTTCCCTCTTTGGTCGCTGTGGCCCGTGTCCTGCGGAGATTCCGATTGTGTTGCGTCGGAGACCCCTGCTGGTGAACTCGAGTATAACGCGGTGAACGTGAATCGCAGTGATTTTTTAATTTCATTTATTTTATTTATTTTTTTGCTCGTGAGAATTCACATCTCTTTTGATAATGTGTACCTTCCTAGGCTATTTGACGTACGTCATATCTTTGCCTTTGTCATGGGCTATAAAGAATAATTGTTAGATTGTCGTCGTCCCCTTTTTTAAGGTTGGTGATTCTATGTAAGATGCTGAATGACATCTTCTTTGTGCCCAGATCCATGGTGATTATATATCAATGCAGTCAGTTGCTGAAGCAGTGCAACAGCGCAAAATTGCCCAGGGACTGGGGGAGACCACAGGACAGTGGGTGGTGGTCATTGGTCTCCATAGCAAAGCGTTTCTGCCCCGAGGGTCGCGATCCGGGCTTTGGGGGTCGAGTACCGCAGACACATGGAGTTTAGTCCATCATGGTGGCTGATCTTACAATAACTAGCTTTGGGGGTATTTTAGGGTGCTGGCACATTGCTTCATCTCTGTCCCTCCCTGTGCACCCTGACTCCCCATGAAGGAAATGTTTATTAAATACATTTCTGTGTAAGAGGTTTGAGGCATTCTTGCTTTAACTCCCCCCCCCCCCCCAACTCTGACATCGAGGCAATTTCTGCAGCATTCGTGTCTGTTATGGGGTCTATACTCTCTGAAAGGGTGGCTTTTTATGAATAGTCTTGGCACCATTCACGGCACAGAGACGCGCACATGTGTGAATGAACCGCTGCATGTTCCCCGGCGCGTGTGAATCGGCGGGATGCCGGTCCCTGCCTGTCAACGGCCTTTCCCAGCTCATGGACATTAATCTCCCCGCCTCTTGTGAATGGCGCCTCTGACTGGCTGTTGAGATTGAGAGACAGGGAGGGGGTGAGAGAGAGGGTCCTTTTCTGCTGTGTGGGGTGGGGATTCGGGGAGGTTATGATGCAGCCGCTCACGTGACCAACACCTTCAGTGACACGTGCTGCCACTGAGGCTGCTGGGTAAACCGCGACTCCTCATTTCCCGCTCTGCTCTCCGCCCCCCCCCCCACCTCAGATGAGCCTATCTCCATCGCTGATCTCTCATTCTCTGTCTCTCCGTTTGCACAGAACAGTCTCCTCCCAATCCACCTCCCTCTCTCTCTCCCTCCCTCCCTCTCTCCCTCCCCTTGCAGAGAACCATCTTTCCCCAACCCTCCCTCCCTCCCTTATCTGTGTCACGACTCACATTTAAAAAATTTGTATAAAGAAACCAGATATTCTGACTGTCTTTTCTGCAAAAGCTCATCATTGTTCCATCACAAAAATTCTTTTAAAAAAAAAAAAGTAAAATAAACATGAATACCCCCCCAATCTTCACAACACACATT